CCAAAGCAACCTGCATATCTCGTGACGCAGTAGCAAAATGTTGTGAGTCCTCGAACCAGCAACAAGACCATATGATCCTAGAGTGCTCTTTGTTGGACGACCACACTTTTTGGTAGCAAAAACCATTCACTGAAAAATCACCACTCATTAAAACTAAGGTTCAAGAGAAAAACGACTGTGAGATGAGAAAATTTGGTAAATTAACATACAATCATCATTTTGTTCGCGGTAGATAATCGCTTTGCGGTCTCTGCTGACACTCAGTAACCGAGTACCAGTTGGACACCATTCGAACTGTGTAACCGTCAATTGGTGCCCTGTTAATAAAGAAGATTATCCATGTATTCATAATAAATGAACTGTGAAATCAGTAATCAGGAAGCTAAGCGACACATAACCAGCCACCACAGGAATGCCGAGTTATAGGTTGAATGCCTTGCCTCAGTGAAAGCTCGTACCTAGGCCTCACACTTTCTAGGCAAGGGTGCTACCATTACACTACCAAGGCTAAGTTTTCCCTTTCCTATGGTTTCACCGCAGCTCATCAGCAATTACACTTGTGTCAAGCGTGAGTTCAGGCTGAGCCAAGGCATCTTGCCATAAATCGGTGTTTTTCTGCTAGCTTTTGAGCAATGGCCAAAAACAGCAGTCATCAAACAAAACAAGTCACTGACCGGATACTTCAGACTTCTTGCTCCAATCTGATGTGTCCCACAACGCAATCACTGCATCATCCGCTTGGCTAGCCTTAATATACATGAAACAAGTCAAAACAAACGTTTCCTTCTAAGGTGCACAAATGATGCGTGAGAGATGTCCGGCTTTGGTGGAGGGGAGGGGGATAGCATTCTGCTGGTTCCTATCGGCCATTGATGAATGCCTCCATGAAGACGTGTAGACTTTTGCGAAACTATGCAATCTGACGAGCTCCTCTTACTCTTAACAATGTACATGTCTTACTGTGATGACACGTGTAACTTAGCAGGAACTAGTAAAAGAAACTAGCGAACTAGAATGTATTCCCTCCCCCTCGCCCTAAGCCGAGCGGCGCCAATGAGAGCCAACAGTACGTGAAAGAACATGGTGCAGTTCGCCACGCGAATTGCACCATCCGCGTGCCATTTTTGCCGCCTTACCCCACGTTGGTTGAGCAGAACTATACCCAGTAAAACCGGATTAGGGTTGAGCTTTGGGTAGGCTCAAGCGCAGATGACTAGAATGCACCAAATGTACCAAACAATCCCCAGACGCACCCCGCAGATTCATACCTTGCAAGACGTAGCAAGCACTGTGCCGGCAGGATTGATCGCAATAGCGTACACTTCATAGCCATGGCCATATAGTTTGTGAATCTCAGGCCAAAGAGTGTTTTGTTGCAAACAGTCTTCTGTGGGAGGAGCTGAAAAGAAACGGAGGTAGCTTATGAATGCATCCATCATCACCTTTTTTTGACAAAAATGATGAATTCCGTACTGTGAAAGTTCACCCAGGCGCTGCTTGGAAAGCCGCTTCCTCCCAATGAGCATCACCATCGCCCTCCAACTGAACTGCTTCGGCATCCTCAATTGCTTTGTTAGACAGACCCAAGGCAGGGACTCTTGCACCATAAGATGGGAAACTGCAGTCTCCAAAAACCTTAAAATTCAATTATGAGATACACTGAAAAAGGTTAGTGTACAGCATTCCAGGTCCACAACGCAAGTTCGCGTAAACGCCAAGCTCCCACGCGGTTACGGGCGTGTGGGCACAAGCAGTCCAGCGAGTATTTCCAAACGCGGCAGGCCGCTTTGCCGAACGTCTCGCGCAACGATACTCTGGTCGCTAGCGGACGGTGGGCGTGTCAGGCATACGAGTGTTCAGCGGCCGTCAAAGCCGTTCTCTGCCTTCTTTGTTTGAAAGCTCGCGCATACGACAAAATGTAGAAAACGAGTATGCGAACGATATGATACAGCCTTATCACTTGCTCGCTTTAACAATTGGTGGAGAACGGGTTTGGCACCGCGCCAATTCATCCCACCTGATACGCCCAACCGTCCGCAGCGAATTACACTATATGTAGCGCGTAGAACGCCGTTCTAAAAGCGATACCGTGCTGCGTCGAGACCTCATGCCATACTCGTAGGACATGCTTCAAACAAGCCGCGATAGAAGTCCCGGCTGATTTGTCAGAACCAATGCTAGATGCGTGATGGCTTCCTTAGCAAGAACTGTCGGCAGAGACACGTCCACCTTCAGTCATTTCGAAGCCAGCAATGTTGCATGCGCTGCTCGCAAACGCTTTAGGAACTTGGAAAGCACGAAATATCTTCTCCTCAGGCGCCAGTCACTATAGCGACGCTGATGAAACAACAAGCCTGTGACTTCAGTGTGGAAGTGAAAACGAGAGAGACCTACCTGGACACCACTGCAATACACTGCATACTGTGGCCATGAACTTGAGGTCGTGCCACTTCAACGAATCCCTCCAGGTCCCTGGCAAAGTGCCTGATCTACGTTCTTACACCTCATTACTGTGCAGTGGTGATTACCTTTTGTGGGACATACACCCTCGTGGTTTTATCCTCACCGACAGAAATGAGCATCTTTCCGCAAGGATGCCATGCAACATCACGCACAGCGCCAACATGGCCACTGCATACTGCCGCCCCATCCCATACATCAGCTTCCTACAAAGTGTAGCCACTTCAATCATGACTCATCAAGAAAGGCCAGAAGTCTGAATTACCTCTTCCGAAAGCCACGCGTAAAGTCCTCCAAAGTACGAAGAAGCCACAACTTGCTGGGCATCAGGAGAAAACGCAGCGCTAAAGAATCCAGCAGCTTGCCCTCCAACAATTCCTAACCGCACCTACAAGCAGATCATAAGGCCTTTATGAATTACTGGTTCAAGAATGTTACCTACCACATCACTCCAGAGCTTTCCTTCATGAGTCTCTTTCCAAATGATGACAGTTTTATCGCTAGAAGACGTGAGTAAGGTGCGCCCAGTTTTATCCCATGAGGTTGAATGCACCCAATCATCGTGCCCTGCTAACACGGCCTCAGTGCTTATAGACCACGAGAGTTCTGAAAATTGATGAGCAACCTCCATCAAACGGGGTTTATGCAAAAAACACACACGATAGAAGCCAAAACTAACCGCCCTCGGCATCAGCAATTTTGAAACAATTTTTAGTGACATTTAATTCATCAGCGTCTTTTTTATCCTTTTCCTCTTCGATGCGCCATAGCTTTACGTACGAATCTTGGCCCGCTGTGGCCAGCAAGATTGGAGAAGACTCTGCAAAAAGAAAATATTATATAAAATTAAGAACGAGCACAATTAGATAGAATAAAATTACACGCAACGATTGAAAGCAATGGAGTGGACCCAGTCGTCATGAGCTGTGATTGAAAGAACTCGTTTCATCGCCTGAAGAACAATTTTGCAAAGAGAAGTACGGGGAAAAAGAAGCCGAAAAGCAACCTTGTGGCAAACGGTCCCACAGTAGAGATCAATGGTTCTTTTTGTTGTGCCTAGAGCAAGAAGCTCCACGCCTGAATGCACATTTATCAGACGACGGTAGATAAAAATGAGGCAGGAAATCTGTTCTTCTACTGAACTTCGAAAGACCAAATCCTTAATCTGAGGCTAGCACTTTGGAATCACGAAATAAACGTCGAAAGAAATGAGAGAATTCTTCAATTCCAGCTTTTATTTCGATCATAGCTAATCAAAACCACGTAGCGGATCCTCGGTTAAAGAGTGACAAGGTGCTTTAAAGCTTTTTCCACGATAGGGAAATTCGCAGATCTCGTGACATCTCCAGTACCCTTCATAAACGCTTGTGGGTGCTCAGTCGCATAGCTTTCTAGCCT